CAGCATTTGAAAGACTGTTGTACCTTGACTTGCTTTATACAAATAAACTGGACAAAACTGGATAAATATTCATTAATCATTATGTATCCTATCCACCACAGAAAATTGCTAGTTGCGAACATTTTAATTTGGTTTCAGAATACAGTTAAAACTGGACATTTGAGACAGTCATCATATGAGTTTATTCTATGCTTTAAAATCATTCAGTTTATAACAATAAGGATTTGTAGTTTACGTGCAGAATATTAAACTTAAAGCACTGAGAATTATGATCAGAACGTAAAAAAGTGCTAGTGTCATTTTAACAGTGTAGTCAGACTCATAATAATTAATTTTAACAGTGTAAAATTGTTCAACAAACACTAAAACACCAGACATTATGATACAGACTTGTGATTTGCACCCAAGTTTTTTCGAAATTCTATACGCAAAAAGTGAGCGCGAGAGCCCTCGGTGCGCCTGCTTGCTGCTGAAGTCAAATTAAACTTTATTGTCATCTCCGCTACAGTCCAGTATATAGAAAGACGAGACGACGAGGCTCCAGTTACAGCAGTGCAAGTAAACAAACAATATATATAAGAAGAGTAAGAAAATAAATATACACTTTAGGACTAGGGGTAAAGGGATCCATAACAATTTAAAATTTATATTTTATAGTTTGATGATTTAAAGTCTCACACACAACCCGTCGAAAGGGGAGGGGCCCTGCTGCTTCCAAATAGAGCACATTTCATTCATAATGTTGTAAATCCAAGTCCATTATGTATTCATGATTTGAAATACTCCCTAGACAAAGTGAATCTCTGAACTAAGGTGTAGGTCTATTAGGTCATGTTGTGGTGATCCCCATGTTGGGGGATGTGTGTTCATACTGGAGTGCAAAATTTAAACCAATGGAATATGGACAAGAAAAGTTCAAAGCCATCAGGTGCTCAGTTTATAAAAAAGAAAATGAATGGAGAAACAAGCATAAGATACAGGTAAGCAGATGTGTTGGATTGGATAATGGCAGGTTATGTAGCCTGAAACTATCAGAATCAGAATACTTTATTAATCCCTCAGGAAATTATGTGGGCTACAGTTGCTCCAGGAAGAAATGGTAAAAATAGTAACAGTAACAGACTAAACTCAAAACAATACATTATGTTATAGATTTTAATATTAATTAGTCATTGTCAGTTGTTGACTTTTCCTGTTCTCATTGTATGACAAATTATGATGGCTGTTTGGTAGCTGTTTGCATACTATGCATACTCTCTCTCTCTCCTCATATATGTGTGTGTGTATGTTTCATAAAACAAAATTTTAATGTTAATGGCCAATCCTTAATATGTTTTATGTGTGTGTGTGTGTGTGTGTGTGTGTTGGGGGGGAGGCGCCAGAGGGAGCTTTTGCCCAGGGCGCCAAACAGGCTAGGACCACCACTGCACACACTTTGTAGAGGGCATATGACGTTTTTGTTTGTGGCTATAATTTCTGCTTGCCTTATCACAGTGGGGTATCGACCACTAATATGGCCCCAAAAAGTAAATTTACTGAAAATGAATCTGAATACTGCAAGTGCTTCAAACAGCATGACTCATTCAGTCATTCACACCCATTCTATTTAACATCCACACATATTCATACTCTGATGGATGCATTGGAG